AATCTACTTTCTCGGAGTTGCTGACGAAATCCATCTTTGAATCTGGCGGATTTGAGAAACCCTAAACTGGTAAAGACAGACTGTGACCACAAAGTTGTGTTCTTGATAAATTGGTTTTATGTTGTTCGGGCGTGACCGGACACTGCTTTTGCCGGACCCTGCATTCCCTGGACACTGCTTTCCCCGGATTCGGCACATCAGTGTTCGGCAAAGGCAGTGTCCAGCTCATCCCTAAAGTTGTTGGTGAAATATGCATTTGATTGACATTTGATTAATGTTTATTTGCTATTTGTGCTTCTTTTCGTGTTAGTGTTGGGTGAACGCTTAAATAGTTGCGCTCAGAAAGTCCACTACATTAATAAAATGATTTATGCCGTTGTTTCCATCGTCTGTCATTGGTTGTACTAGTATTTGCAGCTGAGTAAGCATAATATCTGTCACAATTAATTCATTTTCCGGAACGACAACGTTGTTGTCCAGATCAGAAAAGTCCACTTCGATGAAATCACCAGTTCCGTATTCCTCTAAATCATCAGGTACGTCCATTATACCAAAACTGTGTGTTGAATATCGGTTTTGGATCATGCCTGCGTGCCACAGCTGAAGCGGAGTTCTCCCATGAACTGTGCTAAGGTTGTGATTGTTCCATTGAGAGACAAATTCAGATAAACTTTGGTTAATCCTGTCCATATAAACGTAATGCAAAGCCCACAAATGCACTTCATTTGTTGCATCAAGAATTTCAAAATGTTCCATAAAAGTGAACAGATTCTTGAAATGGGAATTGACAATCCTGTTTACTTCGCCCCACAACCATTCGATTCTCTGGTTGTGCACGCTTCGGCCTGCGATAAAACTGCCTCTGTTACCACCACGATTAGAAATCATGAAGCGTGCTATGTCGACGTTCTCTACACCACGATCACCCCTGACTCTTGATGGTAAGCCGAACCTATGCACCCCTTGCTCAAAAAGTCCCAAAGCAGTTTCTGCCCTGTTGTTATTGGAACATTTAACGTAGATGACGGCTCTGCTATAACCATCTATGCAGCCATGATGTATGAATAGCCACGAAATTAGTTTGTGGTTCCCATCGATATGCCTTAGAAAAAAGTGAAATATAATTAGACAAATTAAGCTCAAAAGATTAATGAAAATGTCAACGGTTGTTAATTGCTACAGTTACGGCGTCTTCCAACGGGATACTAGCTAGCAACTTAAAATCTGGTATCCACCCAGAAAATCTACAAAACATTTTTTCGTTCACGATTGTTTGATAATTTATTTCAATAAGTGGTCTTTCTTCAACTTGTTCATGCAGTTAATATTTGCTGTGTCTTGGTAGATTTTTTGTTCGCTCAGTTCATATAATGTATCTTATTTGAACACGAGTGCGTGAAAACGAGCTATACAACGTGGCGTGAAACGTATCTGTTAGTATGTTAATTAATTAACTTCAGCCAATCACTTCAAGGATAGTTAATAGCCACGCACAGATTGGCTGGGCTGAAGATAATTATATGCATGAACATAAACGCTTCTTATTTTGAATTTCGAAGCGCATCTTCTCTGTATGCTAGCGGTATTTTGTGGAGAAATTTCAGTCGTATATATGGATTGCTACTTTACCACAACAAATTGGGCTGAACAACATTGTACGTCCTTCATTTTAAACGAGTTCTTCTTAATGCTCTTCCAACAGGATCTAAAATCTATAAAAAATTAAAACCTCAATATTTCGGCTAACCGATGCTAAAACAGTAAAAGAAAAACAAGAACGGACATTCGCCTTCAATAACTTGAATACAATAACAGTGTATTTCTAAGTCAATTCCATGTGCAACCTCCCCCTTCTGCATACATGGGAATTGGATACAAAACCATTACCATCCAGTCGAAAATATGTCAGCAGTTGTGCTAAGAAGAATTACCAAGGTAACTTCTGGTAGTGACTTTATCTAACCCTTATTATAAAATATCTAAATCATTAATTAAGTCGTGCCTATGATCACAGTTGGAGTTGACACCTACATAACCTGGACGACAAAACTACAGACCTGCAACCTTTCGCGAACTCGCCACCTTTGTACTCGTAATCCTCTTGATCTTATGCTCCCTTGAACATACGTTTCCCCTGCATTAGGACTGTGGTGTATTATTTGGGTGAGCATAGCATCAAGGTCCTCATCAGGTATATCTGAAAATGCACAGGCTTGATTTGTGTTCATACCAAGCGATAATCTTCTTCTATAGATTGTTGTTCGATTGACACCAACTGTGGAGGCAATATCTGTCCATGTCATGCCTGTCGCATGTAATTGGACTAGTTGATTTCTGGATATGTCATACCTGTAGTTGAAAAGATAAGTCTTTAGACATTTTTCCAAATTAAGGGACTGGTCCTCCTGCTAAGGTCATAATTTAGCAGGAGGGGTGGGGAGGTGGAAACAGGGGGGGAGGGTCACATATTTTTCAGCCAGGAAAAAGGGGGTTCATAAAATATTAGACAGTTTATGAAGGCAGGGAGGGGGTCTGCTGTTTTAGTTCAATTAACTGTTTTATACATGCCTTCTCACATTTTGTTTGAGTTGCATTGAAAAAAATTGATCCTTTAAACTTAGAATGAAAAGTTTGAAAAAAGTAAAGTTTTATATATGACTATGTATTGGTATAATATAAATTCTAGTATTTGATTTAAAGCACAACTAGAAAATTAGAAAATTTAAAATGCAATTAGAAAATTTATTGAATGCAGGGTTTAGTAGTAGTAGGTAGGTACATTTTTGCTGACACAAGCAACAGAGAGGGGGGGGGGGGCGGCATTATTTTTCCAGGTTATGGCAAAGTAGGGTCACAAAATATCATTCCTTAAAATTTTGAATTACACCTCACCCCCCTGATAAATAATGACCAGTCCCTAATGCAGTTTTTTTGCCATTTCCTAAGTACATAACGAACAGGAGTACAGTCAAGTAGACTTCTTTTCTCAAATCTATCTGAAAAGGATGTTACCAAAACAGAGCAAACTTGATCTGTTAAAAGGGTTATGATGGACTACAACGCCTATGGCTATGATGATTTGATTAAGGTAAATAGCGGTACGTTGAGTACTGCATCCTGTGATCCTGAAATGGATTTACTACCAATTAGGAAGATACAGGTGACATATATAAAAGGTGTAGTGTAGTAGGCTTATAAGAAATGGATCTTGGTTCGAATCGGTCGTTTGAATAATTTCATATTAAAACAAAATAAAATGCGCACCTCGGCCGTCCTCTACCTCCTTCCCTTGTCACATCTGGAGTTGGATATTCTTCACCAGCGACAAAGTCACGTCTCTCAAGCAGGGTATTGTAGTGCCTGAAGACATTATTTACGGATAAAAAAAGCTCGTGTATAAACCTTGTTAGCTCTCCCATCTCCCCGGAATTTTCACAACAAGAAAGAATGCGCTCGAGTACACTTAGATGGTCATGCAGTTTTCTGTGAATGTGCTCAATTGCGTCCATATCAAGGTTATACCAAAGTCTATCTGCTTCCTGACAAGTGCCCTTTAAAGATTGTAAGTATTCTACAACGTCAATATGGACTAAATCCTGAAATTGCATGTCTACCGCCATCTTGTATTTAACCGCGTAGTAAACTGGGACCTAATCGATACAGTATGACCACAGAATAAGGTACACAGAAGGTCGACTCGAGTAACGCTGCCACGCCATGATTCATCATCAAAATGCTGACGCCATGGTCCTAGCCAGTGCGGGTTTGAGAGGCATTCCCCCCCTGGACATCCGCCATTTTGAATGATATCAGGGGGGTGAATGCCTCTCAGACGCGCACTGGCTAGGACCATGGCGTCAGCATTTGATGACGAATCACGAGTTACGCCAAAATCATAGGAAAATCATAGGAAAAACGAAGAAGCAGGGGCGTAGCCAAGGGGGGGCGGTCGCCCCCCCAATCGCAAAAAAACTATTCTCTGAAAAAGGCTAAATCCGTAGAGAAATGGGGGGGGGGGTACACGTTACATCCTCGAAGCTGGAACGGATTAAGTACGTCTCGACTGAGAAAAACGACGAAATACTGGAAGAACTTGATTTCTAAAATCTTGTTAAAACAGTTGTAGATATGGTTCCAAGAGGAATAGATTTAGTTTAGATTTACATGTATATGCATTATGATAACATGAATATTCTTCTCACACTTATTCTGTATCATATATAAAAAGCGAGTAGAAACTTAGAAATGTCTGGGAAAATTTATGTCTTCGACGTACTTTATAATCTTTGGAATTCTGCAAGATTTCACCCCCAAAATACTTGAAATCACATTTCAGGGACTCTAAATTTCAAAATTTTCACGGGGGTGCATGCCCCCGAACCCCCCTAGAGCGTACTTTATAATCTTTGGAATTCTGCAAGATTTCACCCCCAAAATACTTGAAATCACATTTCAGGGACTCTAAATTTCAAAATTTTCACGGGGGTGCATGCCCCCGGACCTCCATAGATGGTCTCGCGCCTTCGGCGTTCGCTTCGCCCCCCCCAAAAATGAAGGTCTGGCTACGCCACTGCGAAGAAGTCGGCCTTCTGTGTACCTTATTCTGTGGTATGACCATATGACACTCTTGATTTCAATTTTCAAGCCATAAATAATTTGCACATAAAGTATACTGAGATTTTGCACATAACGTACACTGAAATTTGGCACATAACGTACACTGAGAATTTGCACATAGAGTATACTGAGAATTTGCACATAAAGTACACTGAGAATTTGCACATAAAGTATACTGAGAATTTGCACGTAAAGTACACTGAGAATTTGCGCATAACGTACACTGAGAATTTGCACGTAAAGTATACTGAGATTTTGCACATAACCGTACACTGAGAATTTGCCAGTAAAGTACACTGAGAATTTGCACGTAAAGTATACTGAGATTTTCATCAAGTATACTGAGAATTTTGCACATAAAGTATACTGAGAATTTGCACGTAAAGTATACTGAGAATTTTCATCAAGTATACTGAAATTTTGCACATAAAGTATACTGAGAATTTGCATGTAAACTACACTGAGATTTTGCACATAACGTACACTGAGAATTTGCACATAAAGTATACTGAGAATTTGCACATGGCGTACACTGAGAACCCGTATTAAGAGTTATTTTCAGTGCTTACTTTGAGCATTTCAGTACAATATGTGTACGTTTCAGCATATGCTGTATGTATTTCACATGTTGTGAAACTATGTTTTCTATTCTAATATGTGTTGTAAACTTTCAATAGTATGTTAAAGAAAGTATGAATTTTGCAACACACGGCGCCTCATATTTGCACATAAAGTATACTGAGAATTTGCATGTAAACTACACTGAGATTTTGCACATAACGTACACTGAGAATTTGCACATAAAGTATACTGAGAATTTGCACATGGCGTACACTGAGAACCCGTATTAAGAGTTATTTTCAGTGCTTACTTTGAGCATTTCAGTACAATATGTGTACGTTTCAGCATATGCTGTATGTATTTCACATGTTGTGAAACTATGTTTTCTATTCTAATATGTGTTGTAAACTTTCAATAGTATGTTAAAGAAAGTATGAATTTTGCAACACACGGCGCCTCATACTTCAAAGTTATTTCGTGCTGTCTCTTTTCAACAAGTTTATTTTCAGTGCAAAAACTTTATTTATTTTTGCTGTCTTTTGATGGAATTTTTGCTTGGTACCTATATGCGCTACTCAAGAATGCTGCATGTTGTGACCTCACTTTCATGTAATGCCACTGTTTGCTTTTGTATATTACAGTTCTGTTAGTTGGTGGGCTAGCCCATCAACAGAGGCAGTTCACATCCATTTAAATATGCCCTAATTAGAACACTGGTGTCTCATTAAGACAAAAAATCGAACAAAATTCTACCTGTTTTTGAAAGCTTTGCTCCAATTTTGTTTCATATGCACTGAAACTATGTAACTATGTAATGTATACACTATATAGTGACTTGTTACAACACTTTTATTCTTTTATATTTTCGATAGGTGAAACACTATTGGCCAATAGATGCTCTCTTGTGGTGGATGGCATTATTGTGAATGAGAAGCTTGTAGGTTTTATAGAGGGGTTAATGGTGATGTTTGCGTCCTACTACATTTTCAACATTGTTTATCCGGAAGAGTTAGCTTCGACTTTGGAGTTTATTCAGAGGTTAGTAGAATGTAATGATTTTTATGCTCTCTGTATGATTTCATTTGCCAGTATGTAGTCCATGTTGGACAAATTTCATTGATTGTTTTGAAGGAAGAAATTGATTTCAACCTTGTAAGATAGTCTCTTTAATCTTGACCGTCTCAATCCCCATGTACCATGAACACAAACGCCCTTATCAAATCTGATAATTTGCTTTTGAATGTCACCTTACTCCCTCAGCCACTAATTGAGAAATTTCAGTGACCAGAAATCTTACCAGTAATTGTTGATTTTATATTACTTAGGGAAAATGACCCGAACTTTTGCTAGAACATTTCTGTGAATTAGTGGACTTGTAATTTTAAAATGTATTTTGCAATTCAAACATAATCGTACAATGTACGAAAAATCAACCTCTAAAAACGAAAATTTTAGTTATGACACTGCCATTATGTTCATGCTTTTAAAAATTAATTTAGTGTTTTTTGTCTTTATCATAGATGTTTTCTTGGTCTTAACCCTGAAAAAGGAAGCAAACGAAGCAAAACGAAAGGGAAGAAAAACAATGTCAATCCAAAAGTGCTGTCTTTGGCAAACTCCTTAAAGGACTTTCAGAGTCAATGGACAATCTAGGACTTCAAGACGGTCAAATGTTATAAAACACGTTGAATTCGTATGTACATTTATTGTGGTTTACTGCAGCATTTATTTTTGTTGCGTTAGGTTTTGTTAAGTGCACAGATTAAAAAAAGAAGGTAAGTTTGATCATGGAACTATTGGTTGAGATCACCTTAAAATGGTAGATACTTACATAACTATTTGCTTGTTTGATAAGTGTGATGTATTATTGTATTAATTTTATTGTTTTTTTATTGTTCAAAATCTATGAATATGTAGAGTCAAGCTTAAAACATACAATTCATAGTAGTTATAATTAAACGTATGCACATATTACCAGCTGCATGAGTATCAAAGGACAGAGGAATTCAGTTTCTTTTCCCTATGCATACATTCTTATTGTAATTGTGTATCCAATTATTAAATTTTTATTGTTGTGTTTGAAGAAACAAATGTCGTAGTCTGTTATTCAGCAATAAATAATATAATGGCCATGTAAAATAATATAATGGCCATGTAAGACAAGAAAGTAAATTGTGCAGAAATTGTGAGCATAAACCGGCACGTTTTACTTGGACGACATTCTTCTTTCAAAACATGCCTATAACAAGCAGTGAACAAGTGAATGATAATATCGGCAGAGTGAAAACGCGGGTCATGTTTTTTCTCCCACGTATACCGATTTCTTCGTAGAATTGCTCTGAGCAGAATTTGGGTTGCAATATGCAGCACAAAATGCCCCCGTGTAACATGGCCTTAAGTTCAACTTCTTATAGTTTAAATTATTGAATGCGTTATATATAGCAATTTAGCGACAAAATTTCATCTCCAAAAAAATGTAATTCTACAGCTATTAATCATGTAATTTTACAGACGTTCCTGGCGTCCAAGCTGCCAGCATTTTATATTGTATTTTTACATGATTCTGTAAATTTACAGCTAACTGTAAAAAGACTGCCTTCTGTAATTTTACATCATTTTTTCTGGCGTCCAAGCTGCCAGTACTTTTTACTGTAAAATTACATTTTATTTTTAACAGTGTATATATATATATATATAGATATATAGATATATATATAGATATATATATAGATAGATATATAGATAGATATATATATAGATATATAGATAGATATATATATAGATATATATAGATATATATAGATATATATATATATATAGATATATATATAGATATATATAGATATATATATAGAGATATATATAGATATATATATATATATAGATATATATAGATATATATATATATATATATATATATATAGATATATATATAGATATATATAGATATATATAGATATATATAGATAT